TCCAACAAATCTAATTTTGTTGGATAAGCCATGTGGCTCCTGGAAATCTGACTCAACCTAATTCTACTTCAGGCTATAAGCCAGCAAATCAGCACACCCCATGTCCTGGGCTGCAGTGACAGCTTTAGGGTCAGGCATGTAAACAAAACTAGTTAACTTGAGTGAACCTTCTGATTTTTGCTGAAAATACTGGGACAAAGATGAATGAGTTCAGGAAATGTCTGCAAGTATCCTGGGCAGTGTGAAGTACCAGTCTTGGAAGGAAGCCAAGACCAAGAAAGGAAGAGCAAAGACCAAAAACCAACCACCTTCCCCAAAACAGGATTGTTCCCTGCCTCTCACAAAGCACAACCTGCTTCTACGCTTCTGACTTTTCAGTCAGAAGTTATATATTCCCTTTATTACATCAGTTTGAATTGGGATTTCAGGGCACATGTAATTGACAGCTCACCAATTATACCTTCAGTGCCTACCTAATTTCTCATGATAACTTAAAATATATCATCTCCAACTCGGCTGTAGAGTGAAATGGCATACATCAAAACCATATAAAATAGGGAATATCAAATCCTTAGTTATGGTCCTTCCATACCTGAATGGCCTCTTTTCCTTGAATCCAAATGAACCCCTGGAAAGGGGACCTAGAGTGCTACTGCCATCAGGCAATTTTGATGGCAAGTCCTTCCAACCCGACACTACTATGGCCAATTAACTCCATCCGCAGCTATAGAAAAGAAGAACTGCTTTCTGTTCTTCATCTAATTTTGGAATGAGGAGCCTCACTCAATATGTTTTTCATATTTTATTCTTTTTATTAGTACATGTTTGCAGTACTTGATTACATTCACCACAGGGGTGTGTATGCATAAACAGTACATCTTGATTCTTTTTTTTGTCTCCTTCCCACAACATTTACAAAAGCTCCATTTGCATTTTTTCTTTAAATCTCTTTTCCCTTCCTTCACCCTGCCCCAACCTCTTGTTCCCCTTCATGTTTAAACAAGTGCTTCCTACTTCCTAATATCTCTTCCCCATTCTGCTTATTTATACTTTTTTTTTTGTTTTTTTGAGATAGGGTCTCACTTCGTAGTTGAGACTGATCTGGACCTCACTATGTAGTCCAGGCTGGTCTTGAACTAACAGCGATCCTGCTGCCTCAGCCTCCAGAGTGCTGGGATTACAGACATGCGCCACCATGCCCGGCTCTTATTTATACTTTGGATTTCTCACTCAAGTGAAAGAATGTGACATTTAAACTTGTGTGCTTGATTTATTTCACTTAAGGTTATGGTCCCAAGGTGCAACCATTTACCTAAAAATGCCTCAAGTTTATCCTTCTTTATGGCAGAATAGTACTCCATTGTATATAAATACTACACTTTCTTTATCCATTCATCTTTTGATGGGCATATAGGCTCCTTCCAAGATTTAGCTATTACAAATTGTGGTGCTAGAAAAGTGGGTATGCATGTATCACTGTAGTATGATGTTTTCAACTCTTTTGGGAAGATAATTATAGGGAAACAACTTTGCCTAATGGAACCTCTCATTTTAGTTTTCTGAGGAAATCTACACATTGCTTTCTATACTGGATATACCAACCTGTACTTCCACCAACAACAGAGATGGGGTGTGTCCCCCCCTCAGCCTGGCCAGCTTTTGTTATTAATCTCTTAATGATAGACATTCTTTCTGGAGACAGAATCTCAGGGTTGCTTTAATTTGCATTTCTTGAATGGCCAGCGATATTGAGCAGTTTTTCATGTATTTATTGGCTATTTGTCCTTCTTCATCCTAGAAGTGTCTTCATTTCTGATGCTCATTTTTAGATTGAGTCTCTAAGTTTGGGGAGGGGTCTATTTTTGAGTTTATAAAGATATTAGCCGTCTGAGGAGTAGCTGGCAAAAAAAAAAACTTTCCCCTCTTTGTAAGTTGTCTCTTACCTGTTGGAAACCGTGTTGGTGGTTTCCTTGGCTGTGCAGGAGGTTTTAATTTGATGCAATCCCAGTTGTTGATTCTTTGTAATATTTCCTGTGTGATTGGGGTTATGTTCATAAAGTCTTTGCCTACACTTGTTTTTAAAAGAGTTTTATCTTTTCTATCTTCCAGTAGATAGTTTGTTTTAATATTTAGATGTCTGATCCTTTTTAATTTTAGTTTAGTGCATGGTGAGAGATATGGGTTTAGGTGCAATACGGCATGTAGAAAGCCAAAATGAGGCTTTCAATGGCTAGAGAGGAAGTGGGAAGAGGAGGGGAAAGGAAATAAAGGAAAATAAAAAACATGAAAAAATGAAACAATGGAAACAAAGTCATAAATAGAGAAGGGTGAAGGGGGTGAAGGGAGGGCAGGGATATGGGGGAAAAAAAAAAGAAACAAGACATATCATGTAAAGGTACAAGATCCCAATGACAAATGTAACTGTATTGTTTGTTTTAAATGTACCAATAAACTTAATGGAAAAAAAAAAAAGAGGCTTTCTTCCAGTAAAGGTGTTTGGCCCCTTTGTCAAAGGTAAGGTAAGCTATGTGTGCCTGCAGTTGTTTGTGCATCCTCTATTCTGTCCCATTAGTCCTTGAGTCTGTTTTTTGGCTAAAATCATACTATTTCTATCACTGTAGTTTTGTGCTATAACTTAAAGTCCAGTACTGTGATGCCCACTGCCTTAATCCTGTTGCTAAGCAATGGTTTTGCTATTTTAGGTCTCTTCTTGTTCCATATGAATTTTAGGACAGTTTTCTCTAGTTCTGTGAGGTATGTTATTGGTATTTTGACTGGGATTGAATTAAATCTGTATTACAGTTTTTTTGTTTTTTTTTTTTACTACATTGGTTCTGCCTATCCAAGAATAGGGGGTATATTTTCATTTTCTGGTATCCCCTTCAATTTCCTTTTTCAGGGTCCTTTAGTTTTCACTGTACAGGTCTTTCACTTCCTTGGTTAGGTTAATTCCTAGATATTTCATTTTATTTGAGGTTATTGTGAAAGGTGTTATTTCTCTAATTTCTCTCTTGGTAAGTGTGCTACTAGTGTACAGGAATGCTATTAATTTTTGAGTGATTTATATCCTGCTATGTTACCAAATTTAGTTATTAATTTTAGTAGTGGAGTTTTGGGGTCTTCTATATAGAAGATCATGTCATCAGCAAATAATAATTTAACTTCTTCTTTTCCTATCCATATTCCTTTTAATTTCTTTCACTGGTCTAATTACTCTGGCTGTTTTGAGAACTGTATTGAACAGGAGTGGTGATACCAAACATCCTTGTCTTGTTCCTGATTTTAGAGGGAAAGCTTTGTTTTTGACCTTTTAGTATGATGTTGGATATTGGGTTATTGGTCTGTCATAAATGGTTTTTATCAGTTTAAGATAAAGATCTTTACATATTTTCTTTTGGGTTTTATTATGAATGGGTGTTAAATTTGTCAAATGCTTTCTCTGCAACTATTAAGATGATCATGTGATTTTTGTCCATGCTTCTGTTAATGTGGTATAGTATACTTATTGAATTGTGTGTGTTGAATCATTTCTGCATCCCTGGAATGAATCCTACTTGGTCATGATGTATGAACTTTTTGATGATATGCCGTGTTATGTTTGCCAGGATCTTATTGAGGATTTTTGCATCTGTGTCCATTAAAGAGATTGGCCTTTAGTTCTCTTTCTTCAATGGGTTGTTTTCTGGTTTTGGTATGAAGATAGTGCTGGCTTCCAGGAATGATTTTTGGGAGTACTGCTTCCTTTTCAGTTTTTAAAGAGTGAGGAGTACCAGCATTAGATCTTCTCTAAAGTTCCTGTAGAATTTGGCAGTAAATCTGTTGGAACTTGTTTTTTTTTAAATTCATATTTTTCTTTAATTACTTCAATATCATTGATTGATATTGGATTATTCAGGGCTTTTATATCTTCTTGACTCAGTTCTGGTAATTCACATGCATCTAATAATCTATCTACTTCTTTTGAAATTTCCATTTTATTAGAGTACAGGTTCCCAAAGTATTTGATGATCTGGATTCTGGCAGAATCCATTGTGATTTTGGCTTTTTAATTTCTAATTACATGAGATTGGGTCTTGTCTTTCCTTGTTTTGATAAGGTTAATGGTTTGTCTGCTTTGCTTCAGCTTTCAAAGAACTAAGTCTTACATTCATTGGTTCTTTGTAGGTATATATTTTTTGTTATTGTTTTGTTTTTGTTACATTCATTTCTCCTCTGATCTTTATAATTTTATTCCTCATAGTAGCTTTGGGTTTGGATTGCTGTTGTTTTTCTAGAATCCTGAGGTACATCATTAGGTTATATGTGCATGTTCTGTTTTTCTTATTTGGAAATTCACTGCTATAAATGCCCCTCTTAGGACTGCTTTCATTAAGTCCCATAGATTTCAGTATGTCAAACTGTCATTATCATTTGATTGTAGGAACTGTCTAATTTCTTGTCTAATTTCCTCTGTGACTCACTGATTATTCAAGAGGGTATTATTTAATTTCCTTGTGTTTGCATAATTTCTCTAGTATCGTTTACCATGATTTCTAGTTTCATTGCACTATGAACTGACAACATGCACGGGGATAATTTCAATTCCTTTGCCAAACTGTTGTATCAGGAAAAATTCATATAGTTGAGTTAATTAACAATTCAACAGCATCATGTTGGCAAAAACTTCATTAATTTCTGTTCTGTCATTTTATCCATATATATGTACATAAAAATAAATGTATGTTCATTTTACTGGCTGTACTACTTAAATATGTTGTAGTAATCTTACCTCTAAATACTTTAGGGGTATGTAGCTAGCTTTGTAATTATAATCCAATCAACATTTACGCATTTGTATTTTCTTTTTATGTCTTCTTTGGTCTCAAAATGGGAAGAAATGAGGTCCTATACATTTATATTTTTCAAAAATAATTAACACAATTTACCTGGACAAATGAGGTATTTTTCTCTATGATTTACTCCATATACTTCAAGATAATATTCCTAAAGGAAAAACCTACCTGGGGGGCTGAGAAACTGCAGAAGTTCAGTGTGTTCCATAGCCTGCAAGAAGTCACTCAATTCCATGACTGTACAACCTTTTTCACCCATTAGTTTCAGTAAACACAGGCTTGGGCTTCCTTCAGGCTCCAATACTTTAAGAGAACACTGCTCCAGGTCCAGACAACTGAAAACAACAGATTTAATTCAGGTCAACAATGTGTGTGAATGTGTGTGTGTGTGTGTGTGTGTGTGTGTGTGTGTGTGTGTGTGTGAGTGTGTGTGTGTGTGTGTGTGTGTGTGTTAGTTACTGAGGATCAAATCCAGGGGCCTTCTACCAATAAACTTTATCCCCAGCCATTTTTCCTTTCTTTCTTTATTAGTTCATATTGATTAATAGAATAATGGGTTTCATCTTGGCACATCTGTACATCATATAATAGGCCATCACTAAGTTGGCCAGGCTGGCCTCAAACTTGTGATCCTCCTGCCTCAGTTTCCTCAGTTTTCTAGCTGAGATTTCAGGCATGTGCTATCATGCCCAGCTTCAAGTCAACAATTTTCTTTGGAATGACATGCTTATTATATATCTGGGCCATGAGAGGTGTGATAAAGAATAAAGCACAAGTTGATGAGTGTTGAGAAACTATTTACATTATGCATGCTAATGCCTTTTCCTTCTTCATCCTTCCCTCTTTCCTTTCTTTATTCCCTTCTCCCACTCATTCCCATTACTAAATAAGAAGAATGTAAGAGAAAATCTGAAGCAGGGTATGAGAGAAATTTAGCCTTAATAGTCATCAAACTTTTTGTCTTTAATTTGAAAATGGTGAATAAGAAGAGAGTGTTTTCTTTTCTCCTTCTTTGAAAATGATAAATCAAAATGAAGGAACGAGGGGGCTCGATTCTGCTGCTGTCTGAAAGGAACATGCCCTTATGCATTAGTGCCCGAATTAGTGCCCAATGTATATATGTGGCATATGCACATATATAAATTGAGCTAGTAGCACTATGAAAGGAGAGAAAGAGATGCCTTAATAACTCAAAAATGACACTGGTAGAACAATGTTAGAAAGTTGGCAAATGAAAAAGATTTAAAATTTCCAAGCAAAAGAACATATATTAGAAATATAATTACTGTTTTCAAATAATTAGAATATGCAATTTATAAAAATAAGTATGCTACATGCTAAATACACTTTTTTTTTGTTACCAGGGATTGAACTCAGGACCTTGAGCTTACAAGGCAGGCAGCAGCCCTACTGAACTAAACCCCCAGCCCTAAATATACTTTTTATGATTGAGAAGTTTGTTAATGTCTGATATGTGCAATTTAAGAAGCAATCTCATCAAATGCAACCAAGTTATGCTTTAACTGATGTTTACTTTGATGTACAGAACATTAATAACAATTTGCATTTTCTTTCCTCCAAAGAAAAAAGATCAAATTGAAGCAGTCTATTTCTTTTCCAATACAAGAGGCACAGATAAAAAAAAGATTCTGTATGTTCTTTCATTTTACTGATTTTCCATATGGGCACTGGCTTTTGGGTACGGTGATACATACACACACCCAACTTTCAACTTTCCTTTCTTAGTTCTATTCCAGTACAAGTGTGCTTTAAAGTGGTTTTTACAAGTCCTAATTTGGAACTTTTGATTTATTTTTAAAAACTGCCTTATTACTGGGATAAATAGTTTGTGTTTTAAAAATGTATTTTTATTTTTACTTTTATAAATATATAATCAAATGGAACATATTATACAGCCTTTTGGGTACAAACCACAGAACTGCTTTCAGGTTCTTCTGCTTTTCCTTTTGGTATATATACTCTGCACAACCTTAACCATAACCCTAACTCTAACCCTGGATTTATAGTGCAAGTACAGCAGTCAAGATTTGATGACAAAAATGATGTACGTAACAGTAGTATCAGAAATGATTGTCGATTCTTGCCTAAGCAACTAGAAGAATGTAGTTACCATTTACCAAGACACAGAAAATTGCAACAAAAAGAGGCCTGTGTGAGGAGATAGACTGAGTTTGGTAATTTTACGTTTAGTATGTTTGATGATGAGATGGCAAAAAGACATCTATGAATGGGAGCAGTAAACTGTCTTATTTACCTGACACCCACAAGTTCACAAGATCATGACCAAGATGGTAATGTGTTATATCTTACTACCGGGGGCTTGAACCCCAGGGATACAGTATGACTATCCCACTGGGAGACTTTTTTATTGGTACTGGGGATTGAACTCAGGACCTTCCACTTGCGAGACAGGCAGTGGCAAAATGAGCTAAATCCCTGGCCCTGGGTGACTTTTTATCAATTTTATTAGTAAAAAGATGGATAAAAGTGATTAGATCTGTTTGTATCACCAGGCAGGGGTACAAGCTGCCCAGTCATACAAGTACCACCAGCAGTTCAAGCTGTTGAGAACTTTTTTTTTGGTACCAGGGATAGAACTTGGATCCTTGTGCTTGTAAGGCAGGTGCTGGAACCACTGAGCTAAATCCCTGGCCCTGGTGGGAACTTGTTAAGGAGTAAAGGTTTGATGTATTTCAGCTTGTTTCAGTTTGCAGAAATTTCAGTCCATAGTTGGCTGGCTCCAACACAGGGCAGCATGGTGGAGGGGCATGGCAGAGGAGGACTGCTCATGGCACGGCAGGCAGGAAGCAGCGAGCCATCAAGGGAGGAGGAATCATGTATTTAGCTATTTCTATATCTCTATCCTTTCAGGCCACACCCACAGTGACCTACCTCTTCCCACCAGGCTTTACTTCCCAACATCACATCCAGCTATAAACCAATCAGTGGATTAATCCAGTATCACACTGTGATCCATTCAACTCCCCAAATTCCCTTTGAGCACATGAGGCTTTGGGGAGACATCTACATATAAATCATAACATCAACCTAAATATGTAAAGCTATGAGGCTGAAGGATAACACAAGGAAGAGACTAGGTAGGCATTAGGTAAAAAAGCATAAATAAAGAGATATGAAGACTGAGCTCTAAAGGACTCCAAAATTCAGAGACTGAGGACAAAAGAGATGAAGTAAACTACTGTAAGAATTTTTGTATATGTTCTCATAATAAGCTGCTTGAGAGTAGATTTCTACAGCGAAAAGAGCCCCTACCTCACAGCAGATATACAATGACTGATTATTTTTTCTGAGTCCATATTCCACAGACCAATTTCTTAGCTTCCTGCTTAGCAGAATTTAGGCATTTTGGAGTCCCTTGGAGTTAGCTCTGCCATCCTTGGAGTTCAGATGTCCCAGCCACAACTGACTCTATATAGCCTGGACAACACATTCAGAATACATGCCTTTCTCCAGTGATGGCAAAGATGTAAAGATCAAAAAAAAAAAAAAAAAAAAAAAAAAAAAAAAAAAGTGAAAAAGTGGAAAGAAACCAGAGGCTGCATGTTTTGAACTGTTAGGGCTGTGAATACAGTGACTCTCAAAAAAACACTTTACATCCTCCCCAGACTCATGATCCACTTGGACCAGTCTCTTGCTCTATCATTCCTACATCAGGTACTAGAAACAAACATCTTTATGATGTTCCACCATCAGATGTTCTTATCCCATCAGTCTGAAATCATTTAAAGTAACTTTTTTGTCTTTAAAATAGAATAAGAATTACCTAGTGACCTGACCTTGGTTGTTAATTCTCCAGTCCCCAACTTTCCAGTGTTAATCCTTTTTATGGAGCTTAATTCTTCTCCTTTTGATAGGTATGAATTTAACATTTCTCAATTCTCTAACCCTTCCAACCCCAATTAACCTATTCAGAACTAACTTTCATCATCCTGGAAGACTGGCGCAACTCACCCATTGCTAGTCAAACTAACCACCCTGAATTCTCAGATTCCACAAGTGCACGCCCTTTCGTGCTTGTCATTTCTAGCTAGGCACGTACCATCTTCTCTGTACTACTCCACAGAAAAGTGGCCTCAAACCATTTCCTAAGTTCCCCAAACAAAGCTCACACCATTCTACAGCTTTTAGCAAAACTGGACTGAAGACTTGGGGAGGAATACTGAACAGCCAACCTCCGGTATCCATTTCTTTTAGATATTAACGACCATGCTTCTTTTTCGTAAAGCCTTACAGACTTACTTCTTTTCTTTCATCATCAAGTAGAAGTCCCCTCTATAAAGCCCTCTACAGAAAGCCCAGAGTTTTTCTTAACTACATTACTGCCAAACACATTACTGTGGAGATTTGCCCCCAAAGACAATATTTTACATTATGATAATTCTAGAAACTCAGGAATTTATGGACCTGGAATAATAATACTTCAGATTTTCTTTGCACAGTCAAAAGTCCAATGTGTTTTTCCCAGAACAGAAAAAATACTTACGTCTCTGCTTGAGATTTTGTGCGCGTGTGTGTGTGTGTGTGTGTGTGGTGGGGATCAAACTCTGGACCTTATGCTTGCCAGGCAGGTGCTGAGCTGCTGAGCTACATCCCCTGCCCTTGAGTTTGTTAGTTTATTCACCTCACTTCATTATGCTTGGCAATAATCCCGAATTATCATCACTCTTTGCTTCAACCCCCAAACTCTAAGACTCAGGGTTGCTGGAGGGTTAAAGTAGATAATAGTACATTATTTGGCATATACGATGTACTTAATAAATGATTAAAAACACATTATTATTCACACCCAAAATAGCACTCTATTATTGTGAATGTTCCAAAATACCAGTAAATTATCAGGTAAACCCTAATAATAGGAGTGAAACATTTAACCTTTTACCTTCTGTAACTTCTAGCTAATAATAGGTAGTCAATAAATGTAAGTTTGAATGATAATTCAACAAGTACTTATCGTTTAAGACAAATTCTAGGCATAACAGACATGAGATGTTTTGTTCTTAAGGAGCTTATGAACATATGTGCAAATAATTACAGTACAAGATAATGTTTAGTCATTTGAGAAGTTTAAAAAAAAATCTCTAAAACGTTCAAATATAGGCCAAAATTACGGCAATGGTACAGGGAGGTGGTTTTTAACTCTAGTCTTGGAACACTTGGTGCAGTTCCTGAAATCCTTTGGGGGGGGTGTCCACAATATTAAAAGTTTTTCATAATGCTGCTCAGAACTTATTTATCTTTCATTCCCTCAGGAGTCTATATTGGAGTTTCTAGAACTCCATGACCGGTGATATGCAGAGAAACACATAAAACAATCCAGCTCTCATTTAAGACATTA